CCCGCCGTTCGGCTTGTGCTCGGGCTCGTCTTTTAACGAGCCCGAGCGGCTCGTGGCTCGGTGGCAACGAGCCGAGCCCACGAGCCGGCTCGGCTCGATTGCCACCACTAGGAGTAAATGTGATGAAGGGCATTTTTCACATATAGCTAGGGGTGGGCAAAAATTGACCGAACCCGATCGACTCGATCGGGTTGGGTCGATTTTTTTCCATTTTTTAGTGGGTTCGGTTTCTGGACAATAGGAGCGAGTCGGGTTGCGGGTTAACCCATAAAACCTGAAAAAAACCACCCAACCCAACCCGCCAAAAAAAAAAAAGATTTGATTTCAAATTAAACTACAAATAGTCCAAGTGTCCAACAGGCCCAACCCAACAACGCACAGCCCAAACCCAAATCCCTTCCCTCTTCAACAGCAGGACACCATTAGGTCCATTCCATCACACGATTCACTCAACCCTAATTCCCTCCCTCTTCAGAATCAACAACAGTCGCCTGTCGACGCCTTCGTCTTCCTCTTCTCTCTTTCCCACCAAAGGTGTGGCAAGTTAATCATCTCTCTTCAACAACATTGTTTATTTGTTTTGCTTGATTTATTTTTTACATGTTCTATGGATTTGAATTTACAGCCTGTTGAGTATTTTAAGAATTATTTCTTGTTATTGATTGCTGAATTTAAGGTCATTTCGAATGGTTAGGACTTGGGAATGTTGTTGACGTTTACAATTAATTGATTATGTTTCTTAATAGCAGTTCGCCCCTGCCTCGTTCTTCTTCTTCTTCTCGCCCCTACCCTCATTCTTCGCCCCTGCCCTTTTTTCTTAATTGATTATTGTTACTATTATTATTATACTGGTAGTAACCATTTGCAAACACATTGTCCCTGCAGGCTTTGAAGACTCCTAATTTTCCATCAACACAGGACTTCCTCTGCCTCAATCATGGACACAGACACAGCCACAGCCACATGTGCAATATTATTACTTTCTTGTATTGCATCAATACTTCCAAATTCCAATTAAATATATCTATTTGGTATTTTTGTAATGTTTGTGGAATATGTTGGTAGATACAGATGAATATGAAGTACATAGCACAGAAGCTCCATCATACGACACAGATTTGCAAGCAGGTCCTCCTCCACGTGCACCATCAACATTAGGTAAACGGAAATATAATAGATTATCTTTATATGTTTGGGATCACTTTACACTATTGGGTTCAAGTGATGGTCCGGATGTTAGGTGTAAATGTAACTATTGTGGA